TAAATTTCAAGTATAAAATTATAAATTAATAAATAACAAAATCAAAATATAACATTTAATTTTAATTATTTTTCATCTAACTTATACAAAAAAATTTTATTAAAAATTTTCATCTAAAATCCCTATATATATCATTTTAAATTATTAATCTTTTAATTTTTTTCAATTATAAAATCTCAATTCCTCTAACTAAATTTTATCTAAAAAATTTTAAAAATTATAAATTTTTAAATTTATATTTTAATAAAATTAATTACAAAATTAAATAACGTGGTGACATGTTTGTTATTTTGTATAAAAACAAAATGAACTTATATTTAGAAGTATTAATGTTACTTATTCTCCCATTAAAAATTGAATTTACATTAAATTTTGTAATTTTTAATTATGTCATAAAAATTTAGGAGAGGATATTGAAGGTGTTTTTGGCTAGAAATGCATTCAACAATCACATTAAAAATTTTTTTCGAAATTATTCAATGCATTTTTTATGAAAAACATTTTGAGTAATCACGTAATAAAAATTTATGAAGGGATTATTAAAACTGTTTTTGATAAAAAAAAATGCCTTCAATAACCCTATTAAAAGTTTTTTTGGGATTATTCAAAGTGTTTTGGGCAAAAAACGCTTTAAGTAATCACGTCACAAAAATTTATGAGAGATTATTGAAAATATTTTTAGTCAAAAACACCTTCAATAACCCCATTAAAATTTTTTTTTAGGATTATTCATGACATTTTTGATCAAAAACATCTTCAATAACCCCATTACAAAATTTTTAATTTATATTTTAATAAAATTAATTATAAAATTAAATAAAAACTACCCACCCCACCCACCTTACCCCCCAACACACCCCACCCAACCCCAGATAAGACTCGGCAACCCCCCTCACCCATTCCACAATTCATTCACAGACAACCTCCACAATTCCCCCAAAATTTCCCCTGGTTGGCTAGTTCCTCTTCAAAGTTTAAACTTCTTCATGTGTTACCTTAGCCTTTCCTCAAATAAACTCAACCAACCTTATTCAAGTCTTCTTCTTCTCTCTTTTTTTTTTTTCTATATTTCTCTCTCTTGTATACCTTTTATCTCTTTTATAAACACACATATCAATATTATTATATAAAAATTTTACCAAAAAAAAATAAGTAATTTAATTTTTTTCTTACCTTCTTTTATTTTGATTATTGATTGAAGATTTGAGACTAATTTGAATTTGAGTAGTTGCCTGCCGATTAAATGGTTGTCTATTTTTTAAGTTTTTTTTAGACTGATTTTGAAAGTTAAAACTAAGAATAGTCTGATTTTGAAAGTTAAAACTAAGAATATGACTATATGACTGAGTTATCTTTTTTTTGGCTTTCGTTTTTATTTTTCTTTTGCAGTCTTAGTTGTTTTATTCTAAATTTTGAGAATCTTGACAAATTGTGTTAAAAGTTTTTTTTTTTTTTTTAATTTGTATTGATGATGAAAAAATAGAATAGTGGTAATAATAGATCGTTATTATCATTATTCTCTGTTACATTATTTTTTTAGCGATCACTACACACCGTTTTGAATGTGATTAAATTTTTCAATCGTATTTTCCTCGATAGCAATGACGGATAGTGGCGCGACTATAATTTCATGACCGTTATTTCACTATAACACCGTTTTTTGAATCATTGCCAATGATTTTCATCCTTAGTATTTTTGCTGAAGAACATAATTTAATTTTCTCCTTCAGAATTATTTAAGTTACTGAAGATAAATAAAGAAACCACAAGAAAAAGGTGCAAGTGTCACACATATTTTGGTTTATACAACTGAAATTCTACTCACCAGATTTTACGCTCACTTTCCTGGACAAGGGTCGCCGATTACCACTTGTAGGTGATTTTATTTCCCCAACAACCTTTAATTTGTTAGCCTTGGTTTTGACTTTTAAAGTGCTAATTCAAAAACAGATTAAAGCTATGAAAGCTAATTTAAATTTTAAAAATCTGTCCAAATCCTTATATAATGCAACTTGAATTGGTTAAGAAAAGTTAACAATTTTACCTGAAATTATTTAAATTTAAATTAATCTAAATTAAAATTATCTAAATTTGAGCTTAAAATTGATATATAGATTTGATTTAAAATTTTAATAATTTACATTCAAAATGACTCAAATTCGATTATGCAAATAATTCAATTCAATTATTACTTTTTAATGTAGTAGAATGGCAAATATTGTGCCTTTAATGTAGCAGGGATTGATATTTTCCAATCATTTACTTAGGAGTTAATAACATTTATAGGTTCTAAATTTTTATTTAAATTTTATTTTGGTCTTTAATATTTAAAAAGTTTTAACTTCTAATTGGATATTCAATTACACAAAGTTATCTTGCTTTTGTTCTTTTGTCTATGAAATTGTTTAAATTGATAGTAATTATTAGTTAAAACTATATGATAATGTCAACTGGTATTCGTGTGACAAAGAGGAATCAAAATAAAATTTTCTCGAAATTTAAAGATCAAGTAAGAAATTATTTCAAATTTTTATATATTTTATACATATCTTATAAAAATATCAAATTTAAAATTATATTTTTATATTTTTTTTGTTGTAATAGATTTTTTGTTTTAAATAAAAAATAGGTATTCAAAACTTAAAATTAAGTTAAAATTTAAATTTTTTTAAAAATTCAATATATTTTTTAAAAAATTATTTTTTATTAGAAATATTATTTTACTCATAAATCATAATAAAAGATATTATTTTTATCCATAAAATTTATTTTTTAAAAATATTAAATCTCGTTATTTTTCCTTTAAAATATATTTTATAAAATATGTTTTTAAAAAGAAAAAATAAAAATGTTTCAAATTATATTTTTTAGCTTATATGAAAATAAAGTTTTTAACAAAAAATAGATTAAAATTAGATTTTTATATAGAAAATAAAATTTTGAATAGATTAATAAATCTATTTTTTAAAATAAAATGAAAATTTTTACATAATATTATAAAATGATATAGAGTTTTTATTTATTTTTTTAAGTCGGTATAAAAAAGTTTTATTTAATATTTTAAAATGATATGTAATTTTAAAAAATTATTTTGAAAATTTTAACTTAATTTTAATTTTTTAAAAATCTATTTTCTATTAAAAATATAATTTTATTGATAAATCATATCATAATAAAAATTAAAAAATATTTTAAATTATAATATTTTATAAAATATTTAAAAATCAATTTTTCTTTAATCATTTTATTTTTTCCTTTTTTATTGTTCATAAAATATATTTGAAAGAGAAAATAAAATATATTTAATATTCTAAAAATATATATTTTTGATAGAAAATAATATTTTTAATAGAAAATAATATTTTTAAAATTTTATTGAATTTTTAAAAAGGAATTTGATTTTTAATTTAATTTTAATGTTTAAAAATATGTTCCTATTGAAAAAAAAGATATAACTAATGGCTTAAATTAGAACAAAATTATAAAAATATAATTTTAAATTTAATATTTTATAAAATATACATAAAATATATAAAATTTTGAAATAGTTTTATCTTTTATCTTTAAATTTTGAAAGAATTTTATTTTAATCTCTCATTTGCTATTTGAGATAACAACTGACACTGTTATATGATGCTAACTGATATTTATTATAAATTTATATGATTTCATAGATTGAAAAGACCATAGAAGACCATTTTGGGTAAGTAAATATTTGATTAAAACATTTTAAATAAAATCAAAATAAAATTTGGATTAAAATTTAGAAACTTTTGATGCTATTAACCCTCTACTTAATAATTTAAGTCTTAGAAAATAGAAAGATTGTATGGCTGATGTAGTAGATTATGCAAATAGAAAATGTAAAAATATGAAAAAAAAGGCCAAAAAATAAATTCAATAGAAAACGTGCAAAATAAAAGCTAAAAGGGAAAGAAAAAAAAAGAAGTGAGGTGTAACAAATCTAAGTTGGTATGTTTATTTAAGTAATATTCAAAGAAACTATTGAAAATCAATTAAAAATGAAAATAATTAAACTCTTTGAGATTGAATTTTTTTAAACATAGGATGGATATAGCCAATAAGGGAAGATTGAATTTATATCTTATTATGATAACGAAATTATATTGCAAAATATAAATATTTTAATAAATTTATTTTAGTTAGTTAATGTAGTTTATAAAAAAAAAAGCTTAATTAAATTTATTTGGATGTATGTGTTGATAAATATTTATTTAAATACTATTTTAATTATTTCTACAATGGAATTTTATTCAATTAATTTTAAATTTAACGTGTAATTACAATGAAATAAATATCCATAATCTTAATTTTATATAATAAAAAATTAAAGATTTATTTTATACTTTTAAAGTGAAGCATAAAGTTAAAAAATTTATTTAAATATTATCTTTTTCATAAATAAAATGTAGAAATTACAATGAACCCAAACTCGATTAAAACTCAACCATTCATACTTAAATCCGATTAACAATTATTACCTAAGAATGAAACCCAAACACAGTTAAAAATTAATATCTAATACTCAAACTCTATCCAAATTTGATTACTAGTAGTCACAAAATCCAAAATTTATTTTTTTAATATTTAATATTTTTATTTTTTGTATTTTAAAATTAAAATTTTAAATTTTTTTATTTTTTGATATTAAAAATTATAAAATTTTTATTTTGTAAAAAATTTTAAATTTTAATATTAAATATATTAAAATAAAAATTTTTTAAAAATCAATATCATTCAAATAATTTCGGACGAAGGAAATATTATTTTCTGTCGTGATTCATGTATTGCAAATCCTGAGCTGCAATGCAGGGTACATTTCCGAAATGAAGAAATAGGAAAGGGTATTTGAGTTACAAATGTACAACCTCATTGGAAATTCTAAAGAATGTAGAAAAAGAAAGGCTCAGCTGATTATTCCATTTTTAATGTTGATTGAGGATTACGCAAATCGGCTCCAAATTGGCGTTGGGGAGCAGACGACCTGTCTCTGTTTGCAAACAACCCCTCAAACAAATCCCACCCGCCTTTAAAACGAAACGTTTTAATCGTTCATTTCTTTAATTGTACTATCAGACAAAAATAGTTGTAAATAAACCAAAAAAAATAAAAACCCTCAAAAAATGAAAACAAGACGAGAAACTTCGAAGGATTTATAAAACTAATCGAAGGAAGAAGAAGAAGAAGAAGAAGAAGAAAAATTAAGAATTTGTTGAGCGATCGATCTGTTTACTGATGGACTTGCCGAGCTCATGGGATGCTTTACGCAAACAGGTTAGCCGATCCTCTTTTTCTTTTTTTTTTTCTTTGTTTTTGTTTAATTCTGTCTGGAAAATTGGGGGCTAAAAAAAAACCTAGGATTGTATAATTCTATCAGATTTGATTGAATTCGGTTTGAATTGTTGAGGTAGTTTTGGTTGCTTTGTTTGGATTCTGTCTTTGGTTTGTTGGAAATTTTTTTAAGAAATGAAACGATATTTTTGCCGGGGTTTTTTACCTCTCATTAACCAAAGCGTCTAAATTTCTTTAATTTTTATTGAGTACGTGAGTTTTCTGATCGGAATCTGTTGAAATAAAATCGAAATCTGGATTCTCTAGCTACAGGCGCTGTGCTTTCTGGGTAATCATGTTGAGAAACAAATAGAGATTATGGATTTGTTGCTCATAGAAAAAATGGGGAAAATTTTCAGTTAATTTCCAATGAATTGAATCTGTTTAAAACTAATTAGATCCTTAACTAAGAATATAGTTTTACTAAAACTTTTGTTATTTCTGGAAATTTACCTGTGGGGCAGAAATGCTGGAAATTTCATGTAACCATTGCTGAAGATAAATGTCGCATATCTTGGTAGAAATGCTCATTTTATCTTCTGGTTTTGTTGTGCTGTTGATATTGCAAAAGAAAACTAGAGCCAATTTAACCTTGTGTCAATATACTTGCCAACAACTAGAATTGGGAAATACTAATGACAGCATTAGGTTCAAATCTAATAATGTAGACAGTGTTAGATTCGTTTGTTGTTTTAACTCTTGTAGATGACACTGATGGAAGACAAGATTTAGTACATTATCTACCTTGAAAAATATAAAAGGAATTTTGTCCAAAAATGAAATGGAATGACGTCTCCATATAGGTCCATACTTCAATATGGATTTCCATTTGAAATTTTGGAGGTGGAGGCAAAGGCTTGGCTGAATCAGTAGGTTCCTAGTCTGAAAAGATATTGCAAAATACAAACTTTGTATCTTTCTTTAAGAATTTGATCCTTTGCTAAAAGTTAAAGGAGACATATAATTAGCCATTAGTTCTGCATCAAACTTCTGACACTGAATTTAGATTGAACCTGCTTGAGTGGTTGTTCCACATAGAATAGCTTATCTACCTGACTGGTTGAGGATAACTGCTTCTTCTAATGGACTTTCCTTAAACAAGTTTCATATAGGAGAAAATGAACTTTAATGTTTTGCTCCTGCATTACCTAATTATCTGAATGGTCATGTAATTTGTAAGTTTTAGTTGCCATGTCTAGCATCAATGCATTGCCATTATTGTAAGCTTTGATAACTAGTTTGACATTTCTCTAGCTGGGGTTCACTATGCATTGCCTAGTGATCTTTATATGTTTAACATTGGAAGAATATGATCTTCATTTTTACCTTGGGACAAAAATGGTGCTTTTAGAAAAATAAAGTCAATAGTTTCTTTTTGTAATGTTTTTCTCGACCTTTGTAACTTTTTGCTAGTTAACTCTGATATTTCATTTAGATTTTTAAGTTTTTTAAGGCATTGGGATATTAGCATAAAAAATCTTTTCTTTGCCCAAAAAACATTGAATTTATACTGATTTACCAGTAGGTTCCTAGTCTGAAAAGATATTGCAAAATGTAAACTTTGTGTCTTTCTTTAAAAATTTACACTGTGCTAAAAACTAAAGGAAACATATAATTAGCCATTAGTTGTGCATCAAATTTCTTACACTGAATTTAGATTGTATCTGCTTGAGTGGTTGCTCCACACAATAGCTCATCTGCCTGACTGGTTGAATATAACGGCTTCTTGTAATGGACTTTTTTTTTAACAAGTTTCATATTGGAGAAAATGAACTTTAATGTTTCACTCCCCATTACCTAATTATATGAGTGGTAATGTACTTTGTAAGTTTTAGTTGCCATGTCTGGCATCAATACATTGCCATTATAGCTTCGATAACTAATTCAACATTACTCTAGCCGGGGTTCACTATATTGCATAGTGACTTTATACGTTTAACATTGGAAGAATATGATCTTCATTTTTACCTTGGGTCATTATTTATCAAAATTTTGGGAAAATAGATGCTTTCAGAAAATTAAGTCAGAAGCTTGTTTTTGGAATGTTTCTCTCGACCTTTATAACCTTTTGCTATTTAACTCCCATATTTCATTTAGATTTTTAAGTTCTTTAAGGCATCAAGATTATGCCATTGAAACTACTTTTTTGGCATTAAGAACCTTTTCTTTGCCCAAAAAGCATTGAATTTATTCGGAAATGGTTAACAGTTGGTTCTAGTAATTGATTTGGGCAACAAATTTTGATTCTTGTAACAACTTTGTTTCACTATTATTGCAGGCAAGGAAACTTGAAGCTCAGTTGGATGAGCAGATGAATATATACCGTAAGTTGGTCTCCACTAAGGTTTCAACGAAAGTTGACTCAGAAGAGAGCAATCTTGAATCTGGTATAGACCGACTACTAAAACAGCTACAACAAGTGAATATGCAAATGCAAGACTGGGTATCGTCTGGTGGATCTGAAATGGTTTCTCATACCTTGACTCGGCATCAGGAAATTCTTCAAGATCTCACTCAGGTACTGTGGTTTCCTAATTGTTGTTTGTTTATCTATCTCTGCCAGACAATCTTTGTCCATTGCTTCTTATTTTCTTTTCTTCTTTTTTGTCCCTGTAACACAAGTTTTTCTCCCTTGTTATGCCTCTTTTGATTTAAAGCTAAAACAACAGTGGCTTTATGTCTCCCAATCTGTTCAGAAACTAATAATGAAGCAGCGAAGAGAGTAAGAGCCTTTATAGTGATGTTAAAGGTCATATGTCATGTTATGCTGGAGATATTCAAAATATACTTTGTTTCTACAACTTTTTTGTATCCAGCATATTATTTTTGTTTGAAATCTTCATAAATCTGTAGGCACTTGTTGGTTTGCAGCTTTCCCCACACACCTCCTTTTGGACCCTCCAAATATACATTCTTTTGCTATAAAAACTTTAACATGATTTATTACTATTGAACCAATCAGAAACTAATATGATCTTAGACCTGATTGAAGTGCAGGAGTTCTATCGTCTCCGCTCTAGCCTTAGAGCTAAACAAGAACATGCTTCACTTCTTGATGATTTTAGGGAGTTTGATCGGACTAGATTAGACTTGGAAGAAGGTGTTGGTTCCACAGAACAGGCTCTACTTAAGGAGCATGCAGCCATCAGCCGAAGTACAGGACAGGTGTGTAAGGTTAATAGTAGTTGACAATGCATCTTTGTGTGATTATGATGACATTACTTTATTCCTTCTATAGAAATGCCTTTAATGGCAGTTGATGTTTGGAACTTAAAGTTTAATGATTCATTAATTAATTAATACTCGATTGAGAAGAAAAAAATAGAGAAAATAAATTAAAAGAACTCTCAATGAAATATGGATTTAATGGTGGATTTTTTAGGTTGGTATGCATTCCTATCATCTTCTCATTCCTTTTATTTCAGTTTAAGGTCTAAAAGGAATGGTTTGGAGTTGGTTACAAGGTTGAAAAAGTTGTGATAATGTTGATCATAAAACTTGGGCAAAATTTTTGTATCTTAGAGGTGTAGTCTCATTCAATTAATTACTGGATTTCAACATTTGGGATCTTGAATGAAACCTCAATGAGAATTATAATTTCTGATTTACATAAATTTGACCATTCTTGTTCAAGAAAATTCAAAGTTTCTATTTTTTATGTTTCAAAATTACATTTTGATATTTTTTCTGGTGAGATGTCTAAATGAATTAAAGTGTTCATACCATCTTGATTGATTTCCAAGATTGATATATAATTTATCAGGTTCATAACTCATTGTAAAGAATCATTTGGGAGGATGATGGTAGTCTTGCAGTTTTTTTTCCCTTTTCTTGGTACAACAATCTTGGAGTGTATGCTTTTATTAAAAGAAGCTTGATAAAAATTCATTGTTTGTAATTTTCATCTGTCCAAAAAAGAAAAACCTTCATTATTGTTTGGAATACAAATATTTTGAAGATGTTATGCTAGAAAACACTTCCTGTTAATTGATTCTCTCTGCCATATGAAATATTTTCTTAACCAGCCATTGTTTGGATGGTTTCTCTGTAAAATTAGATGACTATAGATCTCACTTGACTTTGGAGGAAAAAATAAGAATTATGTTAATTTTCATCTGTCGCTCTTAGTTCATATGAAGTTGCCAACTGAATTCTGGTTTTCCAGATGGATAGTGTGATTTCACAAGCTCAAGCAACTCTTGGTGCACTTGTTCTTCAACGTTCAACTTTTGGGGGGATTAATTTAAAGCTCAGCAATGTTGGCAGCCGCCTTCCAACAGTATGAATACTTGTTAATCTTGTCAGTTATGTTTCAACTTTCAGACATTTATAAAGTACTTAATTAGCATCCTATAGTTTAGGTGTCCCGCATGCCATTTTCTAAGATTTCTACAGCATATGAAATTTGAAAAAAGTGGTCATGCTTTAGAAAATAGATTAGTTAATGAAAGAATGAAACATCTGCAATAAATTATTATAAAGGGTTAATGTTACAAATAACTATAATAAAATATTTAATATAATATCTAAATTTTAAAAATTTTTAGCATGGTATTTAAATTATGAATTTGTTAATCAATGTAATACTCATAATGTAGTTTGTTCAAATGAAGACACATGCGGCCAAACAATCCTCTAAGTATCATACTAGTTAATAGATTCATAGTTCAGATGACACATTATATATTTTTAAAGTTTGTTGTCATATTGAACATTTTACTAGAGTTTAAGGGTTATTTGTAACATTGATCCTATCATAAATGATCTAATATACTACGAGTTTAGTAAGTTTGAGAATTTGTTCTGTCTGCACACGAAGATTGATAATTTTAAGGACAGTTTATAAATCTGAATGGAAAAACTTTTTACAATGCGTGAAAATTTTACCCAAAGCCTTCTTTTAACATCACTGCTGGTTTTCAACTGTTACATCCTATTTTCACCTACACACTATCATGTCCTATTGCGCAGGTAAATCATATTCTGTCTGCAATAAAGAGGAAAAAGTCTATGGATACAATCATTCTGTCCCTCGTTGCATCTGTATGCACGTTTGTTATCTTCATCTACTGGTTGAGCAAGTGACGATGTGTTTTTTGTTGCTGGCCTATGATTGTGGTGAAACGGGTTGCCTCTGATGCTCCGTATGGAGCTAAGAAGGGATGTTATCTTATGTTGCAAGTTGATGGTCACATTTCTTTCTACTATAATTACCTTCATTTGTGTAGCACTATGGATTTTCAAAGTATAGGTAAAATTCAACATTCACGTGTGCCCTTTTTTTTTTTTAATTGTATTATCCATGTTAAATGAGTAAAGCTGCTAATAAAAGATTGTTTCGTTGCTGCTTTGTTTTTGGCCCAATGCGTTGCGAGGTCTGAGTGCTTTAGTCAGTCACAAACAATTCAGATAGATTGTAAATGTCCCCGCCTCTCCCATATCTTTTTAGTGCATAAGAGGAGCTGGGTCCCTGGAAAAAAAGGGCTAGAAATATTCAATTACTTATCAACATGTTCTGCCTTTTATTTGATAATTTTAAGCGTAAGAATAAAAAATCGATAAAAAATATTTAAAGTAGAACGATTTAAAATTTTAATAAAAATTATAACTTAAAAATATATTTTTTATTTAGTATGTGAAATTTTGATGTGATAATATTAATATTTGACACGTATTTAATATAAATTAAATAAGCATATATAAATATTATATGATTTATCAGATTTTAGGCTTCTGGCCCAATTGTTGCTTGTACCAATCTTATCATGTTTTCTCATGAGCGCAGAATCCTTGTCATCGATCGCTTCAAAATGATTGAAGTTCCTATACAGAAGCTCTCAGCCTCAGACGCGAGTTTGGTTTAAATTATTATGATGTGTACACCTAATTTCTTTATAGTAGGGCACGACTGAAGGTACAATCTTTCATCAAGATACACCTAGGTTGGAACTTTTTCTCTCAAAAATTGAATCTTCAGCTGAGAAAGATGAGCTGAAAAGTAAGCCAGCTGATACCACACATCGGCAAAACGTTTGTAAAATGGTCGGATGGGGGATAAAATTTCTACGAAATGAATTTACTTCAATTGAATCTGTTTCTCTCACATGATATAAAAGAGAATGTTCATTGGACAGGCTTGGGAAGTAAGTTTTATGAGGTGAACAAGATGTAATGTGAAAAGAGAGAAGGAAGAACAAATTTTGGTTTCTATTGAAATTGCTTTCTACACATAATCCGGTTTTTGATTTCATGTGTAGAATAACGTTATAATATTTCTATAACGTTAGTTCAATATATAATATTAATTGATTTCATGTTATTTAAAGTTAAAAAAATCTTTTTAAATAATTTAATATTAAAAAGAGGTTATAATTTACAAGACCTTATTAAATTTAAAAGTATGGTTATGTACAATAAAAGTCATTATATTTTTATAACTTTAGTTTAACATATAATATTAATTGATTCGTATTATTCAAAGTTAAAAAAATCTTTTAAAATAATTTAATATTAATTTTTTTAAAATTATTTTAATATGTTAATATTAATTTAAGAATATTTCATATCTTAAAATTATTCAAAAAGATTATTTATTACTCTAAAAAAGGTTCCCTCATTTGATACATTAAAATTTTTTAAAATTTATTTTTTTTAAAATGATAAAATTCTTCAATAGTTTTATAAGATTTTATTTTTAAAAATAAATTCTTCAATAATTTAATAAGATTTTTTAAATTTAATTTTAAAAATTATTTTTAAATTCATAAAAATTCTTCAATAATTTGATAAAATTTTATGAATTTAACCTCAAAAATTATTTTTAAGCTCATAAAATTTTCCACTAGGTAGAAATTTATAAATTTATTTTCAAAATTTTTTAAACTCACAAAATCTTTCAATAATTTTTTAAGATTTTGTGAATTTATTTCGAAATTTATAATTTCAAATTTCTAAAAATCATTCAATAATTTGGTATGATTCATATCAAAATTACTTTTTAAAAATTAAATTTTGAATTAATTAAATCTTCTAATATGTCGGCAGAATATTTCATTTAAAATTTTTTAATTTATAAAAACCTTTCAATATATTGTTAAGATTTTATAAATTTATTTTTCAAAATTTTTTTAAAAATTTATAAATTCTTATAATATGGTGGTAAGATTTTTCTTAAAATTATTTTCAAAAAATAAATTTCAAAACAATAAAATTCTCTATATGTTAGTAGGATCTTTTTCAAAACTAACTTTTTTTAAAAAATTATTAATCCAAAACATAAAATAAATAAAATAAAAAATATACTAAAAAAATTAGCTGGTCAAACTTAGTCAACGACTCAAACGAGTCGACTAAATTAAAAGGTAGTTCAAGATTCAAGAAACGGCTCGAAAATTGCTCAAATTGGGCAGTTCAACGCGTGAGGTTGCTAAAACAAAGTGTTTTGATGATGTATAAAAACTAAAAATTTAGCTTTTTCCTTTATTTCTTCAATCCCCATTCTTTCTCTAACCTCATTTCCTCTCCTCATTTCTCTAAATTAGTTTGAAGAGGGGTGGAGAACTTCATGCAACCCAGTTTCTAGTAGAAAACCCAAGAGGTTAGGTTGGATTATCTCCTAATTTCATAACCAAACCTCTAAACCATATTTAATTTATGGTAAAATTGAGACCAGTGGTCTAAGCTAAAACTAAGTGATAACTTCCAAACTAAACCGAAATGCCAAATGAAAGTGATATATAGGGATGAAACCCATGTTGTTCACAACCGCAAGATGAAAGAGATCAAAACCTTCTTTTTGATTTTACCCGAGTGAACTCAGCTTGCCAATCACCAATTGCCCTGTAATACCATCTTAGAAAAAAAGTAAGGGAAGAATACTCGATCCCTCATTTCTACCTCTACATGACAAAACAAACATTTGAGTGAATTCAAATGCCTTATGAATTGACTCTGCTCCTAGTCGTTTCTAAAATCAAAATGCCCAAAAATGAAATTTATCAAAGTCAACACAATTGTAAGGTTTTCCTTAATATAGGGATATATAGCAAATTTGGATTCAGGGACATGTAACAGCCACGTATCATCTTTTACAAATTGATCAAGATGAAGGAAAAACTGAGCTAACAAATGAAGAGGTGAAACCATTTTAAGATTTAAAGAAAATATTTCAGGTTTGAATCTGGAACTATTATGGGTTGTTTTTACAAGCTATAATTTTCAGTTTTGAGCAAAAATTTCTTAACTCAATTCTAAAAATTTCGGTCCTTGATTTTTCTTGAATTGTTCATTGAGAGGAGTAGCCAATACAAAAGAAAAAAAAATAAATTTAATCCTTAAATGCATGGCCATTAGGTGCTAAATTTTCCTTAACAATTTTGCAAAAAATTTGCATCAAATATGGAATATTAGGATTTATAGTTTGTTGTGTTAAGAAAATTCATATTAACAAATTTTTATAAGAAATATAGTTGCCTCAATTTTTTATTTATATTTATTTTTTCTTCATCTATATGAACAAAAAATAGATGATTTGTCCTTATACTAATTTGTATTTATATTCATTACTAACATGTTAGAAGCTTAATGGGTTACACAAAATAAACACCATGCTAGATTAAAATTGGAATTCAATTAAGTAGGATTTAATTCAATAAAAACTAAAATTGTGAGGGACTTAATTGAAGTGTTAAATTAAAGTTAATGGGCCAATTTAAAATTATTGTAATCCTAAATTATGGCTGCAACAAGAGAAGTGTTAAAAAACCTTGTGAGCCGCAAACCTTAAGTATAGAACTGGCTAGCATGTTTTCCCTTCACTTGTCATTCTAAATGCACTCCAAAATAAATTAAGAAAAGACTTTCTCCCATAGAGGTTTATGATGTTATCATTCTATTGTAAGAATGATGATAGTGGGTTAAAAGATAAAAAGGCTTGGGTTATGAAGGAATTTGCCAATAGAATGGAAATGAAGTCATAAAAAGAAGCAAAGGGTGTTGATAAGCTATCATGTGAAGTATAACAACTTTGGTTATCGATTAGTTATGTGATTATGGGAAGAGTGATAGTAGAATACTAGGAATAGTGGGAATAGTTGTGAGAATACTGGGAATAGTGTGAATAGTTATACGATCATTAGTGAAAATACTAGGAATGACTTATAAACCTGTAAATGATCATTTAAAGATTATGAATGAAAATTACCACTGAATTCTCTTTCAACTTTTTTTCTTTTCTGGTCTCATATTCTACTTTCTTTAGTCTAATCTTTTTTTTCCATCACTATTCATTTTATCACAAATTGGTATCAGAGCCACGTAGATCCAAACATCCTAGGAAAAATACAAAAACCAATCATTCATCGCAGAAGGTACTCGATATAATGTTCTTCATGATCAAGTTCAAATGTTGTAAGAAAAAATGAAAACAATGTAAGATACTGTTCTAAGATGATGGGGGTACAGAAGAAAAGCATTGAGGCAATATTAGTCGAAAATCAGAAGGCCTTGCTAGATGAAAATAAGAAGTACGTGTAACAAGTTTTGGATTTATTGAATCTAAAGGGAACATTGCAAGCTCAATTAGAGCTAGAAGGTAATGCAAGAACCATGAATTTATTGAGAGTAGTAACCTTTATACTGCTATAAATGCATATGCACTAAGGCCCAAGATTGAACTACATAATTTTGATGGACATAACCCCAGAGGGTGGATCAAGAACTATCAAAAGTATTTTGCTATTTTTTCCATTTCAGACCATCAAAAATTAAAAGTATAGCAATGTATTTGTTAAGGAAGGCAGAAACTCGATTCAAAATTACATTATGCAAAAAAATACAATGACTTGGTCAAAGTTTGCTTGAGATTTATGTAATAGGTTTTGGGAAAGGACTTACTTGGATGTGATAGAAGATTTTAATAAGCTAGTTTAGAAAAGTACATTGAAAGACTATCAATAAAGATTTAAAAAATTGATGCCATACATGCTGTAGTTTAACCCTAATTAAAATAAAAAATACTTTATTTCTAGCTTTGTGAGTGGGCTCAAGGAGGACCTAAAATCTAGGGTCAAAACTTATGTACCTACTAGTTTAATGGATGCCTACAGACAAGCTAAGCTACACGAACTTTCCCTATACCTTGAAACTAAAAGATACAAGCTATTTACCAAAATAGCCATATCCTCAAATGTAGGACCCTATCTAAAACCAGTAAACATTCAATCATATACACCAATTAAGCCAACACAACCCTCACTATCCATTCTTAACAGGCAATTGTTTAATGAAAGAAGAGTTCATAACCTGTGTTTCAAGTGTGGTGAGAAGTTTGTTCCATGACATGTTTACAAAGCCAAACAACTCAATGCCCTTACTACTGATTAAGAGGTTGAGATAAGCTTGATGATGAGGGAGACAATTTACTGGTAATGTAGGGCACAACACAGTAAGGATTGAAGGCACTATTAAAAAAAAATCACTTAACATTCTTATTGACAATGGTAGTACCTACAACTTTGTTACACCAAATGGGCTAAAGATGATGTTGAGTTTAAATAAACGAATCTTTTGGCTATCACAGTGGCTAATGGAGAGAAACTGTATAGCATTACTAAATGTAAGGAGTTGATTTGGGTAATGCAAAGAAATGTATTTTCTCACAATTTGAAAGTGTTATCTATGTGAGGTAGTGATATAGTTTTGGTTATAGATTGGATGAAAACCTATGGTCCTCTATTATTCGACTTCAATGAGTTTACAATTAAATTTTATAAGGATGGTCAACAAGTCATTCTCAAGGGCAAATAGAATCCAATAAATGTTAAACTCATTTATAGTAAAAAGTTACAAAAGATGGTGAGTAAGGATCCAGCTATAATGGGTAAGCTGTATATGATCAATGTGGATTATACAAGGAATGAAATTCCATTACAATACAAGTATTGATTGAAGTATACTCGAATATCTTTAAAGAATCGTCAGGGCTACCACCATGGGATACCTTTCAAGCTTGGTTTTCAACTAGTTAATCTTAGGCCTTATAGGTTCCCACATTACCAAAAAGCTAAAGTGAAAAAGTTGGTTGCTGAGATGCTATCATCTTTTATTATTTAGACCAACAAGAGCCCTTTTGTGTCACCTTGTCGTTAGTAAGAAAAAAAATAGATC